TGTATTTGTATCCATTTTTTGTATCACTCAGCCTTGTTACAATGCAGCCGCCCATCCCATGTGTTCCCTATTAAGGGTTAATAATATATAGGGGTGAATATAAAAATACCCCTTTCTGCCTCATTAGAGATCTTTGCCAGAAGGAAGCAAGCTGAATAGTTAGGATCCACCTGGGGGTGTCTGCCTTGACGTTGGCAGGTGGGCTTATCCTCTCATGGCCACTGGAGGTAACTAAAAAAACCTCAATTTGTTTAAAAATACATAGGGATTAAAGGACCACTATAGGCACCCAGACTACTTCAGCTTAATGAAGTGGTCTGGGTGCCTGGTCCAGCTAGGGTTTCAGAGAAACTGCTATGTTTACATTAGGGTTAATCCAGCCCCTAGTGGCTGTCTCATTGACAGCCGCTAGAGGGCTTCCGCGCTTCTCACTGTGATTTTCACAGTGTGAAGACGCCAGCGTCCATAGGAAAGCATTGTGAATGCTTTCCTATGGACTGGCTGAATGCGCGCGCAGCTCCTGCCGCGCATGCGCATTCAGCCGAAAAGGAGGAGAGGAGGAAGAGAGCTCCCCGCCCGTTGCTGGAGAAAGAGGTAAGTTCAACCCCTTCCTCCCCCTAGAGCCAGGCGGAAGTGGGACCCTGAGGGCGGGGGCACCCTCAGGGCACTATAGTGCCAGGAAAACGTGTATATTTTCCTGGCACTATAGTGGTCCTTAAAGGAGAGAGCGCAGGTAACTTGTTTTTGTTTGTTTTTTACTATATATTGGGGCTGATGTGTACTGTAGTCTTTGCCGCCGCCCAGTGATGGGAGTGAGCGCAGGACTTATCTTTCTGCATTTGCACCCTGAACCCAAGCCCAGGATCCAGCTTCCAGTACGTGGACCTCTCCTACTCCGGAGAGTCTAGCAGGTATAGCTGTGTAGCTCCTACAAGAACGAGTGATTACAGCCAGTATAGCAACCGAAGCAGGTATAGCTGGTATAGCAGGCCCCAGGGAGAGTGCACAGCTTAGCGGACAGGGGCACATGTATGAGTGTGGGATGGATGATGCATGATTGGCTATATGCTACATGTATGAGTGTGGGATGGATGATGCATGATTGGCTATGTGCTACATGTGGGAGTGTGAGATGTGAGGAAGTGGGTGGTGACAAAGCAGACTGACCTCAGTGCCACTTAGGAGTCGGGCCAGCAAAAAGTTTCCCGCCCACCCTCCCTTTGTTGCTTTGGGCCTGGGGGGTTGTGTCCTTGCCAAATAAGGGATGGTTTGGTAGATTAGATGAAAAGGGGGATAATGGCCGGGTCTCATCCTCCCCCTGTCTCTTATGGTTGGACGTGTCCCCACTGGGTTGTAAGTCGACCAGTGGGGAGCATTATGGTTGGGCTCCAGCGAGTTGGTGGGGAGCCCTGAAAAGGAAGATGTTTTTATTATGCCGAGGGGGGGAGGTGAGAGCGTTGGGGAAGTTAGATTGGCAAGGACGGGTTCTTTGGTTACTGTATGACTATATGCAAATTGTTTATGTTAATTTATGATATTTATTATTTCGTTATAGGTAAAGGAGTCATACGGTATTTGGTTATGTTAATAAATGCTGTGGCCTGTTTTTCTCCAAGAAGTTGTCTGTTGTTATTTGAAGGGGTAAGTTATGGTTTTATGGGGGATGAAGGGAATGCTATCCAATGCCCACTACGTACATACATGTTCCCTACAATCACGAGACGGGCTGCGTGTTGAGGGTGAAGTGAACTGACTTTAATGGTAGCCACACTTGGCCTTTTATAACAGTCTCCATGCAATGGGCACTCCTCTCTGGACCTGAGAGTAAACCACAGTAGAAACAATACACAATCACATTGGCTCTCAGATCCAGGACACTCCCATACAAACTAGGTCAATCCCTCCTCTGTACCAGGGAGATAATTGAGTCAAGTACTGTATTATCTCAATTATATCCAGACACAAAAACACACAATTTTATAAAAACCCCCCCAAAATATTTAAAATATACAAACCCCCCACAAAAGTTACATCCCCTGATAGTCCCGATCTGGATGAATAACATTTCCAAAAATCACCCGGATCAGCTCAGGAATTTCCTGGAAGTCATAGTTTTGGCCGACTGCACGCATGGTCCCATGCCCAAAACTGTTCCATGGAATCGCGGCTAGGTGCCGCTGGGAACCGACTGGGAATAGCGAAGTCTTCCTGCCAAAAACAGTTCCATAGAATCGCGGCTAAGTGTTGCTGGGGGACCGACCGGGAACCGCAAAGTTTTCATGCCGAAAATAGTTCCAGGGCATTCGCTGCTAAGTCCCCCGAAGTCTATTCGCGGTTTTGGTCCATGTGAATTGTTCGGTTCTATGGAAAGTGCCGAACCAGGGGAAATAAAATATGGCTCTTTACAATCGCTGACCTGGCCCATAGTCTTTTGGCAGGAGGCTGGAAAGCAGGCCCCTTCAAAAGCCTGTGGCGAGGTTCTGTTCGCCACAACCACCTCCTCACACGTCCATTTCCGCATATACCACCTCCTCACGTGGCCATTTCCCCATATGCCACCTCCTCACGTGTCCATTTCCCCATATACCATCTCATCTCTGTGTCCATTTCCCCATTTACCACCTCCTCACTGTGTCCATTTCCCCATTTACCACCTCTTCACTGTGTCCATTTCCCCATATACCACCTCCTCACTGTGTCCAATTCCCCATATACCACCTCCTCACTGTGTCCATTTCCTCATATACCACCTCCTCACTGTGTCCATTTCTCCATATACCACCTCCTTACTGTGTCCATTTCCCATATACCACCTCCTCACGTGTTCATTTCTCCATATAAACCTCATCACGTGTCCATTTCCCCATATACCACCTCCTCATGTGTCCATTTCCCCATATACCACCTCCTCATGTGTTCATTTCCCCATATACCATCTCTTCACGTGTCCATTTCCCCATATACCACGTCTTTGCTGTGTCCATTTCTCCATATACATCCTCCTCATGTGTCAATTTCCCCATATACCACCTCCTCACTGTGTCCATTTCCCTATATACCACCTCCTCACTTCTCCATTTCCCCATATACCATCTCCTCACTGTGTCCCTTTCCCCATATACCACCTCCTCACTGTGTCCAATTTCCCATAAAACTCCTCACTGTGTCCTTTCCCCATATACCACCTCCTCACTGTGTCCCTTTCACCATATACCACCTCCTCACTGTGTCCCTTTCCCCATATACCACCTCCTCACTCTGTCCAATTTCCCATAAACATTCTCTTCCTCTATACCATATCTTCCTCTATCTATCTTTTCCCTGCTTTTCATTTTCTATATCCATCGGTTCTATTTGTCTTTACTCTGCTCAGTCATATTCCTCTCCCCCTCATGTTGGCAGATGGTGTACGTGTGCCCGGTACAGATTCCTCTCACTAGGCTGTGCCAGGAAATGGGAACATTTCTGGCAGGATTCAACTAACCCTTTACCCACCAGATGGGACGTAGACTTTAAACCAGACTAGAGCTTATCTGGACAGGGATAAAAATGTACACTCCTTACTAGCCAATGGCATCCAGTTCTGGCCAGTAGAAAGTCATCCCTGATGAGTCCATGGACCCTCCAGGCTTGCAGTGTCAGGTGACATTTAATGCCAGGCTTGTGGCATAGCTCTGCAATGTAGATAGGATGATTTGTACACATTGTATAGACTTAGTGGGGGTGGGGGGGACAGCTGATAGTAGATGTCATGGAGACATAATCACATGTAGAGTAGATAGGATATGTAGATGTGATGTATAGAAGATGTGTAGGTTTAGTGGGATGTAGAGTTGATAGTATGTTCACATGACTGCATGTAGAGTAGATAGCAGGTAGAAGTGGTGGAGTCTAGAGTTGATGGGGTGCAGACTTGGTAGAGTTGATAAGATGTACACGCGGTACAGTTTTTAAGGTGCAGACATAGTACAGTTGATTGGGTGTAGACGGGGTACAGTTGATGGGGTGTACAGGTGCTAGGGTTGATGGGTATACATGTGGTAGGGTTGATGGGGAGGTGGATGTTATGTAAACATGACAAATGGAGAGTCGGACGGTTTATAGGCATGACTAATGGAGAGTTAGATGGTATGTAGACATGATTAGTGGACAGTCGGATGGTGTGTAGACATGATTAGTGGACAGTTAGATGGTATGTAGACACGACTAGTGAAGAGTTGGATGGTATGTAGACATGAGTCAGATGGTATGTAGACATGAGTCAGATGGTGTGTAGACATGAGTCAGATGGCGTGTAGACATGAGTCAGATGGTATGTAGAAATTGCTAATGGAGAGTTTTTGGCGTGGACTGCTTGTGGACATGTCAGGCTAGACTGATGTCAGTATAGGTGTAATGTGTATCTCTTAGACAGTAAAGACCAGGATTAGTCAAAGGCTAGATTTACCGCTCTTGTGGTACTGAAACTCCCATTGTGCTTTACCAACCACTCTGGGTACCAACACCACTTCATTGCATTTGACAGGTTTAGTCTCATATTTATGTTGCAATTTTCTCCCTGTTCAAAACTTTTTAGTTTTGCTTTTTTTCTGCAGCAAAACTCCACCCCCTTAGCCACACCTCTCCATTTCACAAACCATCTTCCTGATTGGAAGGTAAACAATGAGAGAGCTGTATGAAATGACTCCTCCCCCTCAGCCAATCACTTTCCTGTATTATTAGTGTGTGAAGGGTGCATTTAATAAGAGAGCAGTGATTAGCTGGGGAGGAGGAGTGATGTCAGCAGTTCAGCCCACACTGATCTCTCATAGGGTGAGCAGCGTACCCCTAATGAGGAAGCGGCTTTTTTAAATGAGGGGGCGGAGTTATGCTGCAGAAAACTGCACATTTTATTTATTTTTAGCAAAAAAAGTTTTGTATGACTATGAAAGGTCATAATAATCCTTAGACAGAGAAGACAGACAGGAAACAGGGTTATTGCCAAAAAAACTCACCAATTACCGGCAGCTGGTGGTGGTGTTCGTTGTACTGGTAATGAGGACGCCACAATGGAGGCAGTTTCTGGATACGCACATTGTGCTGACTATAGGACGGGATGAAAGCCAGCCAGACGCAGGACACGTAGAGCAAAACTGCGGGGCTGGGGACAAGAAAAAGGATCAGTGAGAGGACACGAGGGAATGATCAGAAACGACAGAACATGGCTCCCAGAACATGGCGCACCCGACTGTCATGATGGCGGCAGGTAAACTCTAGGGATTGTTTTACAATCTGCCAGAACAGAGGAAAACATTCCTCCACTACTGTATATACATAATGGAAATTCCTCATGGACACAAAGTCGCGACATGCTCACAGCTGACAAGATGGCGGAAGATTTATTTATTTTAAAACAGCACGCAACACACTAATACAGAGAGATGCACTGAAATGGCAACCATGACTACATTAGTTGGCATCAAATATAAAATGTTGCAATTCTGTGAAATAAAACAAGTTTAGTTTTAAATGTTGTGAAATCTCAGTCCATTGGCAGTGCCAGGAAAGACCTCACCAACTCCTTCCAACTATTGGCAGTACCAGAACAGACCTCACTAGCCCCTTCCACCATTGGCAGTGCCAGGACAGACCTCACCAGCACATTCCAAGCATTGGCAGTTCCACGACAGACCTTACCAGCCCCTTCCAAACATTGGCAGCACCAGGACAGACCTCACCAGTCCCTACAAACCATTGACAGTGCCAGGACTGACCTCACCAGCCCCTACCAACCATTGGCAGTGCCAGGACAGACCTCACCAGCCCCTTCCAAACATTGGCAGTACCAGGATAGAACTCACCAGCCCCTACCAACCATTGGCAGCACCAGGACAGACCTCACCAGTCCCTACAAACCATTGACAGTGCCAGGACTGACCTCACCAGCCCCTACCAACCATTGGCAGTACCAGGACAGAACTCACCAGTCACTACCAACCATTGACAGTGCCAGGACTGACCTCACCAGCCCCTATCAACCATTGGCAGTACCAGGACAGACCTCACCAGTCCCTACCAACTATTGGCAGTGCCAGGGCAGACCTCACCAGCCCATTACAACCATTGGCAGTGCCAGGATATACCTCACCAGCCCATTCCAACCAATGGCAGTGCCAGGGCCTACTTCACCAGCCCATTCCAACAATTGGCAGTGCCAGGATAGACCTCACCAGCCCATTCCAACCATTGGCAGTTCCAGGACAGACCTCACAGCCCCTTCCAAACATTGGCAGTACCAGGATAGAACTCACCAGCCCCTACCAACCATTGACAGTGCCAGGACTGACCTCACCAGCCCATTCCAACCAGTGGCAGTGCCAGGACAGACCTCACCAGCCCATTCTAACCATTGGCAGTGCCAGGACTGACCTCACAAGCCCCTTCCAATCACTTGCAGTGCCAGGAGAGACCTCACCAGCCCCTTCTATCCATTGGCAGTTCCAGGACAGACCTCACCAGTCCCTACCAGCCATTGACAGTACCAGAACAGACCTTACTAGCCCCTTCCACCATTGGCAGTGCCAGGACAGACCTCACCAGCCCATTCCAACCATTGGCAGTGCCAGGATAGACCTCACCAGCCCATTCCAACCATTGGCAGTTCCAGGACAGACCTCACAGCCCCTTCCAAACATTGGCAGTACCAGGATAGAACTCACCAGCCCCTACCAACCATTGACAGTGCCAGGACTGACCTCACCAGCCCCTACCAACCATTGGCAGCACCAGGACAGACCTCACCAGCCCCTACCAACCATTGGCAGCACCAGGACAGACCTCACCAGTCCCTACAAACCATTGACAGTGCCAGGACTGACCTCACCAGCCCCTACCAACCATTGGCAGTACCAGGACAGACCTCACCAGTCCCTACCAACCATTGACAGTACCAGAACAGACCTTACTAGCCCCTTCCACCATTGGCAGTGCCAGGACAGACCTCACCAGCCCATTCCAACCATTGGCAGTGCCAGGATAGACCTCACCAGCCCATTCCAACCAATGGCAGTGCGAGGACCTACTTCACCAGCCCATTCCAACCAGTGGCAGTGCCAGGACAGACCCCACCAGCCCATTCCAACCATTGGCAGTTCCAGGACAGACCTCACCAGCCCCTTTCAAACATTGGCAGTACCAGGACAGACCTCACCAGCCCCTACCAACCATTGACAGTGCCAGGTCTGACCTCACCAGCCCCTACCAACCATTGGCAGTGCCTGGACAGACCTCACCAGCCCATTCCAACCAGTGGCAGTGCCAGGACAGACCTCACCAGCCCATTCTAACCATTGGCAGTGCCAGGACTGACCTCACAAGCCCCTTCCAATCACTTGCAGTGCCAGGAGAGACCTCACCAGCCCCTTCTATCCATTGGCAGTTCCAGGACAGACCTCACCAGCCCCTACCAACCATTGGCAGTGCCAGGACTGACCTCACCAGTCCCTACCAACCATTAACAGTGCCAGGGCAGACCTCACCAGCCCCTTCCAACCATTCATAGCACCGTGGCACACCGCACATGCTATTCCAGTAATTTGCTTTGCCAGGACAGCCCACTAGCTGCTGCCAGATTCTCACAGAAAAACGTATAACAGGAGCACTGGGGAGGGCACAGGGAAAAGTTCTCACAAACACTGCTAGAATGGCACTGAATATATCGGAGATTTCTCACATAGATCCCACAGCCCTGCACCATTAACCCGTCATCTGCCAAGCACCCTGCCCCATTAACCCCTCACCTGCCAAGCACCCTGCACCATTAACCCCTCACCTGCCAAGCGCCAGCACAGCATCCCTCACCTGCACAGCAGACACAGGGTGGCCACTAATCACTCACCTCTTGTGAGCCCGGCAGCCCATCGGAGATGCAGGGAGACGAGCTGGGAGAACGGAGAGAGAGATAGGATGCTGCTAGTCAGAGCCTCAGAGGCTGCAAACCATCTGGGATGTGTGAGTGAGGGGGAGGAGGATGGGTGCCATGTATGAGTGCAGAGTGGGAAGTGACACACAGAATCAGCAGGCAATCCTTACTGCCCAGCTTTGTGCCAGCTAGCGGGAGGGTCCGCTCCATCCTATCACTCTCAGCCAGTAGGCGATCCTTACTGCCCAGCATTGTGCCAGCTAGCAGGAGAGTCCGCTCCTTCCTATTACTCTCAGCCAGCAGGCGATCCTTACTGCCCTGCATTGTGCCAGCTAGCGGGGGAGTCCGCTGTTTCCTATCACGCTCAGCCAGCAGGTGATCCTTACTGATCAGCAATATGCCAGCCTGCAGGGGAGTCCACTCCTTCCTATCATTCTCAGTCAGTAGGCGATTCGCACTGCCCAGCATTGTGCCAGCTAGCGGGGGAGTCCGCTCTTTCCTATCATGCTCAGCCAGCAGGCGATTATTACTGCCCAGCATTATGCCAGCGAGCATGGGAGTTCGTTCCGTCCTATCATTCTCAGTCAGTAGGCGATTCTTACTGCCCAGTATTGTGCCAGCTAGCGGGGGAGTCCGCTTTTTCCTATCAAGCTCAGCCAGCAGACAATCCTTACTGCACAGCATTGTGTCAGCTAGCGGGGGAGTCTGCTCCTTCCTATCACTCTCAGCCAGCAGGCAATCCTTACTGCCCAGCATTGTGCCAGCTAGCGGGGTAGTCCGCTCCTTTCTATCACTCTCAGCCAGCAGACGATCTTTACTGCCCAGCATTGTGCCAGCTAGCAGGAGAGTCCGCTCCTTCCTATCACTCTCAGCCAGCAGGCGATCCTTACTGCCCTGCATTGTGCCAGCTAGCGGGGGAGACTGGTCTTTCCTATCACGCTACACCAGCAGGCGATCCTTACTGCCCAGCATTATGCCAGCTTGCAGGGGAGTCCGCTCC